GACAAATTACACGAGTGAAAGTTTTCAAATATTCAACAGAACAATTTCGATAGAAATTTATTTTTCAGCATCAACATAATTTCCGAAGAAAAACTCGAAAGTGCTTGTGACAACAATTGGAGAAGTTTCAAAAACAACGAAAACAAAAAATAAAAATTCGAAAATATTTTCTTTACGTGAGAAACTTTTGCTAGATAGTTTAGCTCGAAGAAGCATGTAAATAAACCTGAAAATTGTGAATACTTATTATCATCCAGCATTACTTTGAGAAAAGTGCTTGAGGAAGAACGGCCCATACACTTTTAATTAAACGAGCACTAGAGCAGAGTTTTACAACACAACTTCAAAATTTTACAAAAGGTAAGAAAATACTATCAATTAAAACAAACCTTAAAAAATCATGAACCTACTTAAAACATAAGACAAGAAGCGTAGCACGTTTTGACAAACAGTTATTGAACAAAATATCGCTTCAAACTAAAAGTAACACTTAGCCTCATTGGTCTGTGGCGCAACGGATAACGCGTCTGACTACGAATCAGGAGATTGCAGGTTCAAATCCTGCCAGACTCGAATACTTTTTTCTATACAAAAGTAATTACAAAACAGTTTAAATATCAATGAAAAGGATCATTTTAAACTATAAGTGCTCCACTACACGATTCTGATTTAGTGTGAAAAAGTTCAAAAGTATTTATCAATTAGAAACCATTTTATGAGGTGCAATGAAAAGTAATAAAAGAATCGGAAACCATCTCAAATAAATTACACGAGTGAAGGTTTTCAAAAAATTCAACAGATTGTTTCCGATAAGAATTACTTTTTCAACATCAACAGAAACTTCAAAGAAAAACCCAAAACTGCTTGCTACAACAATTTGCGAAGTCTCACAGACAATGAAACCAAAAAACAAATCAATTCGAAAAGAATTTTCTTGCCAGGAGAAACTTTTGCGAAATAGTTAAGCTCAAAGGAGAATGTGAAAAAATTTAGAAATTGTGAATACTTATTTTCATCCACCATTACTTCGAGAAAAGTGCTTAAAAAAGAACGGTCCATACACTTTTATTTAAATGAGCACTAGGGCACAGTTTTACAACACAACTTCAAGATTTTAAAAAAGAAATGAATATACTATCAATTAGGAAAAACCTTAATAAATCATGAACCTACCTAAAACATAAGACAAGAAGCGTAGCAATTTTTTACAAACAGTTATTGAACAAAATATCGCTTCAATAAAAAAAATAACACTTAGCCTCATTGGTCTGTGGGGCAACGGATAACGCGTCTGACAACATACCAGGAGATTGCAGGGTCGAATCCTGCCAGACTCGATTACTTTTTACTATACAAAAGTACTTACAAAACAGTTTAATTATGAATGAAAAGGATGACTTTAAGCTAAAAGTGCTCCACTACACGATTCTACTTTAGTGTGAAAAAGTTCAAAAATATTTATCAATTAGAAACCATTTTATGAGGTGCAATGAAAAATGATTAAGGAATTGAAAGCCATCTCGAACAAATTACACGATAGAAAGTTTTCAAAAAAATTCAACAGATAGTTTTCGGTAAAAAATAATTTTTCAACATCAACAAAAACTCCGAAGAAAAACTCATACACTTTTATTTAAATGAGCACTAGGGCACAGTTTTACAACACAACTTCAAGATTTTAAAAAGATATGAAAATACTATCAATTAAGAAAAACCTTAATAAATCATGAACCTACTTAAAACATAAGACAAGAAGCGTAGCAATTTTTTACAAACAGTTATTGAACCAAATATCGACTCAATCAAAAACTAACTCTTAGCCTCATTAGTCTGTCGCGCAACGGATAACGCCTTTGACTACAAATCAGGAGATTGCAGGTTCGATTCCAGCCAGACTCGATTACTTTTTAGTATACAAAAGTACTTACAAAACAGTTTAAATATGAATGAAAAGGATGATTTTAAGCTAAAAGTGCTCCACTACACGATTCTACTTTAGTGTGAAAAAGTTCAGAACTATTTATCATTTAGAAATTATTTTATGAGGTGCAATGAAAAATGATAAGAATACATAAAGAAGAAATGTGAATACTTACTATCATCCAGTATTACTTTGAAAAAAAAAGCGCTTAAAGAAGAACAGCCCATACACTTTTATTTAAACTACCTGTAGAACAGAGTTTTACTATACAACTAGACATTGTGAATACTTATCATCATCCAGCAAAAATTTGAGTATAATGCTTAAGGAAGAACGGCCCATACACTTTTAATTAAATCAGCACTAGAGCAGAGTTTTACAACACAAATTCAAGATTTTAAAAAAGATATGAAAATACTATCAATTAAAACAAACCTTAATAAATCATGAACCTATTTAAAACATAAGACAAGAGGGTAGCCCTTTTTGACAAACAGCTATTGAACAAAATATCGCACCAAACAAAACTAACACTTGACCTCATGGGTCTGTGGCGCAACGGATAACGCGTCTGACTACGAATCAGGAGATTGCAGGTTCGAATCCTGCCAGACTCGAATACTTTTTTCTATACAAAAGTACTTACAAAACAGTTTAAATATCAATGAAAAGGATGATTTTAAGCTAAAAGTGCTACACGATTCTACTTTAGTGTGAAAAAGTTCAGAACTATTTATCATTTAGAAATTATTTTATGAGGTGCAATGAAAAATGATAAGAACACATTAAGAAGAAATGTGAATACTTACTATCATCCAGTATTACTTTGAAAAAAAGCGCTTAAAGAAGAACAGCCCATACACTTTTATTTAAACTACCTGTAGAACAGAGTTTTACTATACAACTAGACATTGTGAATACTTATCATCATCCAGCAATAATTTGAGTATAGTGCTTAAGGAAGAACGGCCCATACACTTTTAATTAAATCAGCACTAGAGCAGAGTTTTACAACACAACTTCAAGATTTTAAAAAGATATGAAAATACTATCAATTAAGAAAAACCTTAATAAATCATGAACCTACTTAAAATATAAGACAAGAAGCGTAGCAATTTTTTACAAACAGTTATTGAACCAAATATCGACTCAATCAAAAACTAACTCTTAGCCTCATTAGTCTGTCGCGCAACGGATAACGCCTTTGACTACAAATCAGGAGATTGCAGGTTCGATTCCAGCCAGACTCGATTACTTTTTAGTATACAAAAGTACTTACAAAACAGTTTAAATATGAATGAAAAGGATGATTTTAAGCTAAAAGTGCTCCACTACACGATTCTACTTTAGTGTGAAAAAGTTCAGAACTATTTATCATTTAGAAATTATTTTATGAGGTGCAATGAAAAATGATAAGAACACATTAAGAAGAAATGTGAATACTTACTATCATCCAGTATTACTTTGAAAAAAAGCGCTTAAAGAAGAACAGCCCATACACTTTTATTTAAACTACCTGTAGAACAGAGTTTTACTATACAACTAGACATTGTGAATACTTATCATCATCCAGCAATAATTTGAGTATAGTGCTTAAGGAAGAACGGCCCATACACTTTTAATTAAATCAGCACTAGAGCAGAGTGTTACAACACAACTTCAAGATTTTAAAAAGATATGAAAATACTATCAATTAAGAAAAACCTTAATAAATCATGAACCTACTTAAAATATAAGACAAGAAGCGTAGCAATTTTTTACAAACAGTTATTGAACCAAATATCGACTCAATCAAAAACTAACTCTTAGCCTCATTAGTCTGTCGCGCAACGGATAACGCCTTTGACTACAAATCAGGAGATTGCAGGTTCGATTCCAGCCAGACTCGATTACTTTTTAGTATACAAAAGTACTTACAAAACAGTTTAAATATGAATGAAAAGGATGATTTTAAGCTAAAAGTGCTCCACTACACGATTCTACTTTAGTGTGAAAAAGTTCAGAACTATTTATCATTTAGAAATTATTTTATGAGGTGCAATGAAAAATGATAAGAATACATTAAGAAGAAATGTGAATACTTACTATCATCCAGTATTACTTTGAAAAAAAAGCGCTTAAAGAAGAACAGCCCATACACTTTTATTTAAACTACCTGTAGAACAGAGTTTTACTATACAACTAGACATTGTGAATACTTATCATCATCCAGCAAAAATTTGAGTATAATGCTTAAGGAAGAACGGCCCATACACTTTTAATTAAATCAGCACTAGAGCAGAGTTTTACAACACAAATTCAAGATTTTAAAAAAGATATGAAAATACTATCAATTAAAACAAACCTTAATAAATCATGAACCTATTTAAAACATAAGACAAGAGGGTAGCCCTTTTTGACAAACAGCTATTGAACAAAATATCGCACCAAACAAAACTAACACTTGACCTCATGGGTCTGTGGCGCAACGGATAACGCGTCTGACTACGAATCAGGAGATTGCAGGTTCGAATCCTGCCAGACTCGAATACTTTTTTCTATACAAAAGTACTTACAAAACAGTTTAAATATCAATGAAAAGGATGATTTTAAGCTAAAAGTGCTCCACTACACGATTCTACTTTAGTGTGAAAAAGTTCAGAACTATTTATCATTTAGAAATTATTTTATGAGGTGCAATGAAAAATGATAAGAACACATTAAGAAGAAATGTGAATACTTACTATCATCCAGTATTACTTTGAAAAAAAGCGCTTAAAGAAGAACAGCCCATACACTTTTATTTAAACTACCTGTAGAACAGAGTTTTACTATACAACTAGACATTGTGAATACTTATCATCATCCAGCAATAATTTGAGTATAGTGCTTAAGGAAGAACGGCCCATACACTTTTAATTAAATCAGCACTAGAGCAGAGTTTTACAACACAAATTCAGGATTTTAAAAAAGATATGAAAATACTATCAATTAAAACAAACCTTAATAAATTTAAAACATAAGACAAGAGGGTAGCCCTTTTTGACAAACAGCTATTGAACAAAATGTCGCACCAAACAAAACTAACACTAAACCTCATGGGTCTGTGGCGCAACGGATAACGCGTCTGACTACGAATCAGGAGATTGCAGGTTCGAATCCTGCCAGACTCGAATACTTTTTTCTATACAAAAGTACTTACAAAATAGTTTAAATATCAATGAAAAGGATGATTTTAAGCTAAAAGTGCTCCACTACACGATTCTACTTTAGTGTGAAAAAGTTCAGAACTATTTATCATTTAGAAATTATTTTATGAGGTGCTATGAAAAATGATAAGAATACATTAAGAAGAAATGTGAATACTTACTATCATCCAGTATTACTTTGAAAAAAAGCGCTTAAAGAAGAACAGCCCATACACTTTTATTTAAACTACCTGTAGAACAGAGTTTTACTATACAACTAGACATTGTGAATACTTATCATCATCCAGCAATAATTTGAGTATAGTGCTTAAGGAAGAACGGCCCATACACTTTTAATTAAATCAGCACTAGAGCAGAGTTTTACAACACAAATTCAAGATTTTAAAAAAGATATGAAAATACTATCAATTAAAACAAACCTTAATAAATCATGGACCTATTTAAAACATAAGACAAGAAGGGTAGCCCTTTTTGACAAACAGCTATTGAACAAAATGTCGCACCAAACAAAACTAACACTTAACCTCATGGGTCTGTGGCGCAACGGATAACGCGTCTGACAACAAATCAGGAGAATGCAGCTTCAAACCCTGCCAGACTCGATTAGTAATTATAATCCAAAAAGCACTTAGAACAGTATAAATATGAATGACGTAGTGTGAAAAACTTCTAAAATAATTATCATTTAAAAACCAATTTTTGACTTAACAAAAGAAACTTATGAAAAGTAACCAAAGAACTGGAAGCCATCTCAAATAGATTACACGATTGAAAGTGTTGAAAACGTTCAACAGAACACTTTCGATAAAAATTACTTTTTCAGCATCAACAAAAACACCGAAGGAAAATCTCAAATTGCTTGCAAAAACAATTGGCGTAATTTCACAAACAACGAAACCAACAAAAAATCACAACGCAAATATTTTTTACCGTGAGAAACTTTTGCTAAGTTGTTTAGCTCGAAGAAGCATGTTAAAAATCCTAGAAATTGTGAATACTTGTTATCATCCAGCATTAATTTGAGTATATTGCTTAAAGAAGAACGGCCCATACAATTTTAATTGAATGCTCTAGAGCAGTTTTACTATACAACTTCAAGATTTTAAAAAGTGATATGCAAATACTATCAAATAAAACAAACCTTTCAATTCATGAACCTACTTAAAACATAAGACAAGAATTGTCGCACTTTTTGACAAACAGCTATTGAACATAAGAATAACCCTCGTGGATCTGTGGCGCACCAGATAACGCATCAGACTACGAATCAGAAGATTGCAGGTTCGAAGCCTGCCAAACTCTTAAGCAAAATTACTTTTTACTATACAAAAGTACTTACCAAACAGATTTTAAATATGATTGAAAAGTATGATTTTAAGCTAAAGATGATCCACTACACGATTCTACTTTAGAGTGAAAAAGCTCAAAACTATTTAATATTTAGAAACCATTTTATGAGGTGTAGAGAAAAATGATAAGAAAATTGAAAGCCATCTCAAACAAATTACACGCGTCAATGTTTTCAAAAAAATTCAACAGATAGTTTTCGGTAAAAATCGATTTTTCAACACCAACAAAAATTCTGAAGAATAACCCAAAACCGCTTGCGACAACAATTTCTTAAGTTTCACAAGCAATAAAACCAAAAAAAAATCAATTCGAAAAGAATTTTGTTGCCGTGAGAAACTTTTGCAAAAAGAGTTAAGCTCAAAGAAGCATTTTAAAAATCTAGAAATTGTGAATACTTATTTTCATCCAATTTTATTTTGGAAATAAAGCTTAAGGAAGAATGGCCCATACACTTTCATTTGTAGAGCTCTAGAACAGAGTATAACTATACAACTACAATACAAAAAAAAGTGATTCAAAACGAAAGTTATGTAAAGCAAATTACAAGCCATTAGGAAGACTTTGATAGCCTCTTCATTTGATAACACTGCCCATTGTTTTATTTTTGAAACAGCGCTTTAGAGAAAAATGAAAAAGAAGTTAATGGACGAAGGCATTAAGACACGACAAACAACATATTTGAGAAGTTTTTACTTAGAATTGAGTTTCTTTTCATTGGGAGGCATTCATTTTTAAGTTTAATGTGAACAATTACGCATAAAAAAGATCAATACAACCTTTTCGAAAATACTATCAAATAAAACAAACCTCAAAAAAATGAAACAACTAAAAAACATAAGAGGGAGAAGCGTTGCACTTTACGACAAACATTTATTGAACAAAACTTTGATTCAATCGAAAACCGACAGAGACCATCATGGTTCTGTAGCGCAACTGATAACGCGTCTAACAACGAACCATCGAATCAGGTGATTACAGATTCGACACCTGCCAGCATGGATTTTACTATCAGAAAATACAAATAAAACAGTTTGAAGATGAATGAATAGGATGATTTTAGGCTAAATTTGTTCCACTACACAATTCTACTTAAGTGTGAAAAAGATCAAAACTAATTATCAATTAGAAACCATTTTATGAAGTGCAATGAAAAATGATCAAAGAATTGAAAGCCATCTCGAACAAATTACACGAGTGAAAGTTTTCCAAAAATTCAACAGATTGTTTTCGATAAAAATTACTTTTTCAGCATCAACAAAAACTTCGAAGAAAAATCCAAAACTGCTTGCGACAACAATTTGCGAAGCCTCACAAACAATGAAACCAAGAAACAAATCAATTCGAAAAGAATTTTGTTGCCGTGAGAAACTTTTGCGAAATAGTTAAGCTCAAAGAAGCATGTGAAAAAATCTAGAAATTGTGAATACTTATTTTCATCCAATTTTATTTTGGAAATAAAGCTTAAGGAAGAATGGCCCATACACTTTCATTTGTAGAGCTCTAGAACAGAGTATAACTATACAACTACAATACAAAAAAAAGTGATTCAAAACGAAAGTTATGTAAAGCAAATTACAAGCCATTAGGAAGACTTTGATAGCCTCTTCATTTGATAACACTGCCCATTGTTTTATTTTTGAAACAGCGCTTTAGAGAAAAATGAAAAAGAAGTTAATGGACGAAGGCATTAAGACACGACAAACAACATATTTGAGAAGTTTTTACTTAGAATTGAGTTTCTTTTCATTGGGAGGCATTCATTTTTAAGTTTAATGTGAACAATTACGCATAAAAAAGATCAATACAACCTTTTCGAAAATACTATCAAATAAAACAAACCTCAAAAAAATGAAACAACTAAAAAACATAAGAGGGAGAAGCGTTGCACTTTACGACAAACATTTATTGAACAAAACTTTGATTCAATCGAAAACCGACAGAGACCATCATGGTTCTGTAGCGCAACTGATAACGCGTCTAACAACGAACCATCGAATCAGGTGATTACAGATTCGACACCTGCCAGCATGGATTTTACTATCAGAAAATACAAATAAAACAGTTTGAAGATGAATGAATAGGATGATTTTAGGCTAAATTTGTTCCACTACACAATTCTACTTAAGTGTGAAAAAGATCAAAACTAATTATCAATTAGAAACCATTTTATGAAGTGCAATGAAAAATGATCAAAGAATTGAAAGCCATCTCGAACAAATTACACGAGTGAAAGTTTTCCAAAAATTCAACAGATTGTTTTCGATAAGAATTATTTTTTCAACATCAAAAAAAACTTCAAAGATAAACCCAAAACTGCTTGCAACAACAATTTGCAAAGTTTCACAAACAATGAAACCAAAAAACAAATCAATTCGAAAAGAATTTTGTTGTCGTGAGTAACTTTTGCGAAATAGTTAAGCTCGAACAAGCATGTAAATAAACCTGGAATTTGTGAAGACTTATGATCATTCAGCATTACTTTGAGAAAAATGCTTCGTAGAACGACCATACACTTTTAATTAAATCAGGTTTAGGGCAGAGTTTTACAACACAACTTCAAGATTTTTAAAAAGATATGAAAATACTATCAATTAAAACAAACCTTAATAAATCATGAACCTATTTAAAACATAAGACAAGAAGGGTAGCCCTTTTTGACAAACAGCTATTGAACAAAATGTCGCACCAAACAAAACTAACACTTAACATCATGGGTCTGTGGCGCAACCATAACGCGTTTGACTACAACTCAGGAGATTGCAGGTTCGAATCCAGCCAGACTCGATTACTTTTTACTATACAAAAGTACTTACAAAACAGTTCAAATATGAAAGAAAAGGATGATTTTAAGCTAAAATTGCTCCACTACACGATTCTACTTTAGTGTGAAAAAATTCAGAACTATTTATCATTTAGAAATTATTTTATGAGGTGCAATGAAAAATGATAAGAATACATAAAGAAGAAATGTGAATACTTACGATCATCCAGTATTACTTAGAAAATAGCGCTTAAAGAAAAACAGCCCACACACATTTATTTGAGTGAGCTGTAGAACAAAGTTTTACTATACAACTACAACAATTCAAAAATTGATTCAAACGAAAGTTTTTTAAAGCAAACTATAAACTATTAAGCAGAACTTGATTGCCTCTTCAGTTGATAACACCGCCCATTGTTTTATTTTTGAATCAACACTTTACGACAAGTGAAAAAGAAGGTAGAGGATCAAGGCATTAATTCACGACAAACACTATAATTAGAATGTTTTTACTTAGAATTGAGTTTCTTCTCATTGGGAGGCTTTCATTTTTAAGTTTGATGTTAATAATTACGCTTAAAATAGAGAAAGACTCCATAGAATTTGCTTGAGGATCTTTTCAATTAAAACAAACCTCGATAGAAAATGAACCTGTTAGAAACAAAAGACAAGAAGCGTCGCACCTTTTGACAAACAGTTATTTAACAAAAAAAGTTCCGTCAATCAAAAATTGACACTTTTTCAACAGAACGTTTCCGAAAATTTCAACAACGTTTTTGATAGAAATTATTTTTTCAGCATCAACAAAAACTCCAAAAAAACACCCAAAATTGCTTGCGACAACAATTGGCGT